TTAGCCTCCAGTCCCCTAATCATCTTTGTTGCTCTTCTCTGTACTCTTTCTAGAGTCTCAACATCTTTTTTACATCGCGGTGACCAAAACTGGATGCAGTATTCCAAGTGTGGCCTTACCAAGGCATTGTAAAGTGGTATTAACACTTCACGTGATCTTGATTCTATCCCTCTGTTAATGCAGCCTAGCACTGTGTTGGATTTTTTGGCAGCTGCAGCACACGGCTGGCTCATATTTAGGTGATTGTCCACTAGGACTCCGAGGTCCCTCTCACAGTTACTACTATTGAGCAAGATGCCACCTATGCTGTACTTGTGCATTTGGTTTTTCTTGCCTAAATGTAGAACCTTGCTTTTTTCACCATTGAATTTCATTTTGTTAGATAGTGCCCAGTGTTCAAGTCTGTCCAGATCCTCCTGTATCTTAAGCCTGTCTTCTGGAGTATTGGGAGAGCAACTGCTATATTTGCCATCCCTGTGGTAAAAAAATGACTGGATTGACCCCAGACCCAATGAGACCTCACACCATCTCTTTTTCCTTTTGTCTCTTTCTGTTTTATTATACAAAAGATTCCTTTTATTAGAAATAAAGTGGTATGCTTCTCTTCATTTTACAGACCTGTATTTATACCTTATTTCTGGGCTCATATAAAACTGACAAAATCTATTCAACTCTTCCCCCAGGGCCAAATATAATGCTTATTTACATTTTCCTCTAGATTTATATTGTTGCGTCCCCCTATTTTTAGTTTTAGTTTTATTTTTAGTTTTAGATTTTTTTAAAATAATCACGGCTTTGTTGTTTTTTATAAATAATTCAAGGCGACTGTGATACTGTATCCTCCGTCCTCCTTCTATTTTCCCCACAACAACAACAACCCTATGAGGTAAATTGGGCTAAGAGAGGGACTGGCCCAAAGTCACCTAGTTGGTTTTCATGGCTAAAGCGGAACTAGAACTCACAGCCTCCTGGTTTCTCAGCCAGCATCTTAATCTCTACCTGAAACTAGTTCTCTGTGTTGTATTAGATATCCTGTTTTTAACATGTTTCCTCAGAAGCATTACAATGATTCTTTCCTTTTTTCTATTTTGGTTTTTGTGCTCTTTCCCCATACTTCATATTCTATTTCCAGAACATTTACAGCTGTCTCTATCTCTGTGGGCCTTTTATTTCCACTTCTGTGGAGTTTTTCTGTCTTTCTTCATAAATGATGGATAGCGAGCCAGTCTTTTCTTCTTTTCTTTTTTCTATTTAAACTGAAGAAAATGTCGGGGAGGGGTCTTTCCAGGTCATTTGTTTGGCCTTCTTTCTGAGTGAGGGAGAGCCCCCATTTTCTCAGCAGCTGCCATCCCCATTTTCCTCAGCATGGCTTATTTTTATTTATTTATTTATTTACAAACTGGTAGTTGGCACCACAACACCAAATACATAATGATGAATTTCAACAAATCCATTGTGTTTAAAAACAAAACAGTGTTTCCCCTTTCCTCATCCCTGAAGATGCCTTTTCTGAATTATTTCTGAAGTACTGCAACTCTAGTTATTGTTTTTATTGCATTTTTTGCATTGAGGTGTGTGTGTTGTAGACATTTTCTGAATAATAGATTGTCCTCAGCACGTAAAGCACAAAGTGACCTTTTAATCAACTTGCAAAACAGAATGTACCTGTCCTGAATGCTACATTTATTTAATAAACTCCATGAAGATTTTTTCAAAGACACAAAAAAAGAGAAAATTCAATGTTATGTATTACAATGTAATGAATGTACAAACAGAGGCCTGAAGGAACAGATTAGGGATACATTATCATGGAGAAAATCTATCTATGCAGTCACTAGAGATAAAAATGACCTCATGGCACATAATCAAAAAATGTTATGCATTGGAAGGAACCAATATTGTACATTAAATTAGTAATATCAAACAAGGAAGAATTTGTCAGACAATCATCACAGACCCAGCAATCCAATCCATCAAAGAGGTGATTCAAGTTTTGTGAATTTCTACTCAAGACTGAATTGGGCAGGTCAAGATGGACTTCACAAAGGGATAAATTTATTGTAAAATCGGAGTGCGCTATTCATAATTAGAATTTATGATGTCTTGCGGTGAGGAACAGCACAGATTTCGTAAGAATGAGGATATGTTGTCAACCCAATTTTAGGTTTTTCACTGGTTTTTTTCTCTCCTTTTGGTAACTGGAAGACGAATGCCTTGAGCAGGTTTATAAAGAAGATAAAGAGCTCAGCTCTTGATAATTTATCTGCTAAAGACCCATCTGACTCTGTGGAGGAAATGGGAAGTGTAATTACAAAATAATCATGAAACAATAATTAACGATAACATTGAGAAAGGAAGGTATTTGAAGTTACAATATACTAAAGTACCTTCCTAACCATCTTCTCTGCCTCCTCTTTTATCATCTCGCCTGGCACTGCTCCAAGAACTGGCTGTGACATGTCATAAGTAATTTTTTCTTAATATATGAAGACCATCTTCATTCTCCCAATATGCTTAAGCTTATTCTTGAATTGATCTATTGCATAACTTCACACAATACAGATAGTCCTTGACTTACAAACGCAATTGGGAGCAGAATTTCCATTGCCAAGCAAGGTGATTGTTAAATGAGCCATGCCTTAATTTTACAAACTTTTTGGCCATGACTGTTAAGCAAGTCACTGCACATGGTCATTAAATGAATTTAGCTTCCTCCATTGACTTTGCTTGTCGAAAACTGGCTGGGAAGTTCGCAGGTAGCAGTCACATGACCCCAAGACATTGCAATTGTTGTAAATACATGCCAAGGAGTGATCATAGCTCACTTTTTTTGAATATTCTCTAAATGAATGGTTGTAAGTCAAGGACCACCTGTACATTGAACTATAAATTAAATCAACCATCTGAATTCACCTAACATACTAAAATCAGTAACCTAAATTTACATTAACCAAGTTTCACACTTCATACAAATGTAGCCATTATGTCTCAATGTGCCTGTTAAAAGTATTGTAAAAACAGCCAATTCAAAAATCCAAATTCAAATCCAAAGCAAAATGTTGTCAATAATTATCATATGTTTTGATTATTAAACTAGCACTTCTGCAGCCCAGTTTTCATGCACTTCTAGGATATAATGGTAGAAATTTAATTCCAGCTTACCGTGCATAGTATTAATTCATATGAAGAATGATTTGTAAGTTATATATCTATAGTGTGTTGGGAAAATCTAGCCAATTAGACTATGATTCATTCAGTGAAAAATAATTTAGTATGATTAATGAATCTTGTCATATCCCTATTTTTGCACTACACAAAAAATTGTTCTTTCACTAGCCAAGTTATAGAATGTTGAAAAAAATGCAACTTCTGTATAAGAAACAGATAAGTTATGGACTGACAATTGATCTCCAGTTCCTACTACATGGACTAAATGTGCCTTTTGTCTTTCAAAACAAAACACAACTTTCCTATTTAAAATAAAAATCACACCATCTATATGATAATAAACCACTTTTATATTTACCACCAGCAAGGAGTTGATATTGTTTTTTGTCAACAAATTGTCCATCCTTGTCCAAAAAATGACTTGGGTTGAATTTTTCAGGTGTCTCCCATCGTTCGGGATCAAGTAATACTGAATTCAGATCTGGGTTAATAAAAGTTCCCTGAAAATAATTTTAAAAAAAAGTTGACTCAATGCATCCAAACTATCCCGTTTCAAATTCCTTCCTCACTTTCACCAGTTTCTGAGCACTTTTCACACAGTATGTACAAACATAAAAATTTGGAACTAATCATAGTGTATTTCTGTGGCACATCTTAACTTAAATCAATTTGTGTGCCTCTTATGAAACAGAGATAACAAAAACTCATTCTGGACATGAATAAAGTAATATACTGTTCCTGGGTATTTTTTTAAACATCATAAAACCCATGAGCTGTAGGAAGCCACTGTTGAAAAGAACAGGAAGCTACATGGAAATTTCAGTACAGCTTCACTGGAAGTCTCAGGGGGTCATCTGAGATGCTTCAATGAATGCTGTACTAAGAGGGTCTTAGATTAGATGTCTACAGTTGGAGTAAGGTACTTTACAACTCTAAGATTTTATGGAAAGAAATAATCAATATCTGTTCAGGAATTTGTATTCATGAGGTTTGAGTTACTATTGGGTTATTATTTCTATTTTAGAAAGTCTTTGAAACATATCACTGTTTCTTCTTGACATGAATCTCATTACTGATGCAATAAGGCTATGATTTTTTTTTCTTTTTACCACCCTTTAATCCCTATATTCAGTGTGGAGTCGGGGCAACTGAATGGAGTTGAGCGTTTACTGGCTGGATGGCCTTCCTGATGCCTTACACAAAGTTTGCAGTAGATATTTTCTCTTTGCACCCTGATAGAGAAACATCTGCCACTGCCTAGGACTGAACTCTTAACCTTCCAAGTGGGAGGCGAGCATCTTCACTTCTAAGTCACTGCGCTGCTCAAGGGCTATGAATTGTTACTTATTTAAAATATCTATATAGTCACCCATTTCGCATGCCATAATCTTGTAAATTAAAGATCAAAAACCCATACAGTTATAACAAAAACTCCAAGCATCCCTAAGACAAACACTCTTCCACCCTTCAGTGTTCAATTTTGCTTGCCCTACCTCAGTGTTTGTGGAAAGAGCCATTTTTTCAAGGCCTTCAAGAAGGCTAGGAAGATAGGGGCCTACTGGATCTTGGGGAAGGACCACTACAGAGCCATAGGCAGAATACATAGGAGCCATTGATTCATTCATTTATTCAGCCACTCATTCACTCATTGCTATATCATCACTCTTCTATACCTTGGGAGCAAGAAAACCAAAGATATTCACATTCTTTGCACATTGTTTGATAATTCTGAATAAGAAGGCATGTTTGGTTCGCTGAATCTCGTAAATCACAGCGCTGGTATAAGGTAATTTCTTCCAATCTTGATGGCCAACTGCATTTGAAGAACCCAAAACCTTTTCTATCTCCTTATGGACTTTATCTGAAAAAAAAATGAAAGGGGGGGGAAAACATTTTACATTGGGAAATGCGTGTTGCTATGCCACATTTGTAAAGTAAGGCAGCCATGGTTAGGTTTTATCCCCATAACAACAACCCTATGAAGGTTGGACTGAAAGAATATCACAGAGCAAAAGTCAGTGAAGGTGAATCTGGGTCTTTTGGGTCCTATACCATATGCCAATGTTTGTTGCTACATGATGCCAAAACCAGAATTTCTCAGGCTAATCTTTCCCAGATGGATAGTCACACAGCTCCCACTATTTTTTAAAGCCAATATGTCCATGGAAAATTCTTTACAGCCTATCTGGAAGGAAGTGTGATGATATATGGAAAAGACCTTGCGAGACAGGTTGAAGAGATGCTGCCTAGGAAATGATCAAATAAGGGAGGGGATAGCCTGCAGCTGGATAGTGGGTGGAGCAAGAAACTCAGAAATCACCCTCTCTTGTTTCTCAAGCTGTAAAGGAGATGGAAGAAGACCTGAGACATCAGACTTGCAAGATTCTGTTAATGTAGCTTTACAATAAAGTTGAATTAGTTTATCTGTTTATGTTTCCAGTCTGGTCTGGCTAGTGAGTCTGAAAGCAGCTCGAGACACCCCCTGGAGCCCTTGGTTTAGCCCAGGGGTAGGCAACCTTGGCTCTTTTACGCAGTGCTTTTTTTGTAAAAAAAAAAAAAAAAAGGTGCCGGAACTCACACACTGTGGGGAAAAATGCATGCGCAGCAAACTGCCGTGCTTTCCCCCCCACAAACCTCATAACCTTTTGATACCCTTTGTCCCAATGAAGCAGCCAGAAGGTCATACCCTTTTGACTTAATGCCTCACCTACCTAAACAGATAATATGCTTAAGTTTCTTCCTATCTCTTCCTGTCTTTGTTAGTTCCTTCTGCTTTCATCTCCCTGTGTTTGTTCTTACCTGGCCTTTGGCCATGTAATGTGTTACTAGAAAATAGTTGCTTACATGAAGACCTTTTCCAATGAAGAAACCTTTGTCAGCATCTAATGGTTAAGCTGGTGTATGTAACAAGTATATAAGAAGCAATAAACTCAGAGTTTGTCAAGCTGTGTCTTGCAGTTTCAAACCTCTGCTCAAGACATGCCTGTGTCTTTGTCTTAACGTCTTACAACACACGTCATACAACCCGCCTTGCCTACCCTACAAGGTTCCATCCAAAAAAGGTGACGGAACTCCGTTCTGAGCATTCTATGACAAAAAAAGCCCTGCTTTTATGACTCTTGGACTTCAACTCCCAGAATTCCTGAGCCAGCATGGCTCAGCTTGGAAACCTCTCCCTTTCCCCTCAGCATGGCTGGCTCAGGAATTCTGGGAGTTGAAGTCCACGAGTCATAAAAGAGCCAAGGTTGCCTACCCCTGGTTTAGTCTGTGTTCATACAATATGCAGCTACTTACATATGTAATCTACCAAAGTTAGTTGATATTAACCTGAGTAGTGTCAGGTGTAAATAAACAGGTCCATATGTGAAGAGTTCATTTTAGGCTTTCTTGCTCAAACCAATGGACCAGCACCTTTTCAGACTAACAATTTGCTTCTGGATAAAACTAAATAAGATTCAAAGGCACTCAAGAGGGATTGGACTTCCCCCTATATAGAGACTCTAAACTAATTCCCTATTTGACTCTTCCCCTGATTCTGCCAGTCTCTCTTCAACAAGTCAATGGTTTTGGTTTGGTCCTAATCTATTATGTGAATCCAGTCCAATAAGCTAAGATAGAGCTGGCTTTATTGTTCAAACCCAGAAAAAGAATTAATGTTTTTTTTGTGAAAGCAACACTGAGCTCCCATTCTGTGGAGCTACAAGTACCTCAGAAGAAAAATGAGAACAGAAGGAATTATTAACATTAATCAAACCCTCTCCCATCAGATAAACGCCCCCCCCCAAAGTTGGTAAAGAATTTCTGTTCTTTTAAGAGGTGAGTGAAAATGACATCATTTAGGGTGGTGGGGAATTATGTGCAAGGAGATAGCCAAGACTATATTTACTATTTCTTCTGCTCATTAGACAACGAAAAAAGCTAAACCATTCCTCCAAGTTGCAGCTTGTCTGTGCCTAATATTCATCTTTGTAAAATTGCCCCAGGAACAACTCTTCGGAAGCTACCAGAATAATCATTTTCTCATCAAATGCCACTCCTCCCTCCCAAGAATGCTGCTGGGAGCAATTATACATTTTCACTTACTACAATTTCCTGAGACATTTAGACTGCCAAACACAGCTCAAGCACTATTTAGAGCAGGGGTAGTCAACCTTGGCTCTTTTATGACTTGTGGACTTCAACTCCCAGAATTCCTCAGCCAGCCACGCTGAGGGGAAAGGGAGAAGTTTTCAAGCTGAGCCATGCTGGCTCAGGAATTCTGGGAGTTGAAGTCCACGAGTCATGAAGGGGCCATAGTTCCCCCATGCTGGCTCAGGAATTCTGGGAGTTGAAGTCCACGAGTCATGAAGGGGCCATAGTTCCCCCATGCTGGCTCAGGAATTCTGGGAGTTGAAGTCCACGAGTCATGAAGGGGCCATAATTCCCCCACGCTGGCTCAGGAATTCTGGGAGTTGAAATCCATGAGTCATAAAAGAGCCAAGGTTGACTACCCCTGATTTAGAGCAACGACGTCCCTCTTAATTATTTAGGAGGGAGAGGTTCCACCACCCTTGGATGCTATGTTAAAATGAAAACCCTCCCCCCTCTGATCTACCTGGGATCAATCCTAATCTTCTTCCCACTGACTCTCCTCCCCCTCTCACCTTGAACATCTGGATGAGATGCCATCAGCAGCAGTGCCCACTGCAGAGTGATTGCAGTTGATTCTGCACCCGAGATAAGGAAGTTGAAAATGCATTCAGCCAGGTTCTCTTCATTATAGGCAGAATTCTGGCCACCTTTGTTCTGTTTGTGACAAAAGGGGGGGAAATGTTATTTAAAAGTTATTGCCCGGTCTTCCAAACTTTGTCATATTGTCTGTGTGGCTCCCTATTTTACAAGATGATACATTCACTAGAAATGTACTGTGATCTTTGGTGTCTCTGAGCTTGGTTTTTTGGCTGCAGACATTTCATTATGAAATGTCATTAGGTAACATCACGAAACATCATCAAGCCAACAATCAAACCCAAAGAGCACCAAGGACTCCACAGTTCAGCTCTGAGCTATAGAGATTTTATCTTCTGTTGGAACGATGATCTTTGCAAACATTTTGGGGGTTTAGCAAAACATTTCTCAGATCCTGTTTTAAGGACCCTTCCCATCTTATACCTCCCCGACAACCTCCCATTTATGCCCTATTTTTGTGAATGCCTTTAAAACTGCACTGGTGTTAAAGAAGCGTCTCCCCTCCCCTTGTTCCAACACAGTTTTTGCCATGGGCTTCAACACCCATTGTGACAGTGATGCAGTGAGGTGAACCAAAATGAGAGAATTGACTAATTTTGTATTGGCATCTTTAAACCAACAAAAGTGCGTATAGTCAAGGCCATGGTTTTCCCAGTTGCAATGTATGGCTGTGAAAGTTGGACCATAAGAAAGGCTGAGTGACAAAGAATGGAGGCCTTTGAACTATGGTGCTGGAGAAGAATCCTGCGAGTCCCCTGGACTGCAAGGCGATCAAACCGGTCAGTCCTAGAGGAGATCAACCCCGACTGCTCTTTAGAAGGCCAGATCCTGAAATTGAAACTCAAGTACTTTGGCCATCTCATGAGAAGGAAGGACTCCCTGGAGAAGAGCCTCATGCTGGGAAAGATGGAGGGCAAGAGAAGAAGGGGACGACAGAGAATGAGGTGGCTGGATGGAGTCACTGAAGCAGTAGGCGTGAGCTTAAATGGACTCCAGAAGATGGTAGAGGACAGGAATGCCTGGAGGAACGTTGTCCATGGGGTCGTGATGGGTCAGACACGACTTCGCAATTAACAAAAGCAAAACAAGCTAGTATGACTTCTGCCTTTTCTTCCCTTTCCTCCAAGTCCATATTGTTTTGGCTACAGGACCAGAGCTTTTTTTGTCATAGAATGCCCAGAACGAAGTTTCTGCACCTTTTTTGGATGGAACCTTGTAGGGTAGGCAAGGCGGATTGTATGACATGTGTGAGTTCCNTATTTTTAATTTGGTTTTAACAAAAATTTTAAAAAGAAACGGCCAAAATTAATATTTCATTTTAGTTACATTTTAAACTTAGTATTTTGTATTATTGTCTGTTTTTAACTTGCTGTAAGCCGCCCTGAGTCCGTCAGGAGAAGGGCGGGGTATAAATTTGATAAATAAATAAATAAATAAAAATAGTTCCCTGGACTGGAAAAGCAAGGGAAGAAAAACATACTTTCAGATTTGAAAGATTCTGTTACAACAATCTTATAATATAAAAGTAGAATTAGTTCTTCCAGTTGTGTTTCCTGTCTGGACTACCTCACAAGGTTCACAAGCACTGTCTTAACTCAATCACATCAAATTTTAGGAAATATGGTGGTGGCAAGGTGAAAAACACAGTGACAATGTTAGCAGACTTGACACACAGACCTTAAAAAGCAGCGTGAGTAAATCCTTTATTTCTCATCATTGTAAGCCTTGCTTATGAATAAATGCAAAGATGTTCAAGGTAGCAGACTGATGGAGACACTGAACTTACATCCACCATTCTTTCTCTTCATTGTTCCATTCAGAAATCTATCGATCCTATGTTTATGCCCCTTGTGGGGTGATATCTGAATGTCCCTTCAAGAACTTTTAAGAAGTCACAATAACATCTTGCAATTCCACTAGGAGTAAAAACCAGGGATGTTGCAGTGGAGTAGAATTTCACATGTTCTTCATCTATTGGTGGTGCCCAGCTGACAACTTATCTTTATCTCACCCCAAAAGATAAAGTTGGAATAAGCCCCGTTCCCCTATAACTACAAGGGCAAATATGATTTTTGCAATAAATCAGGCTTGACCAATTAGAATAATTTAGGATCTTTGTTCTTATCTCCATATTTTATTCTGTTTTGCCAGTTAGAAGCTGCTTTATCCCCCCAGTGTGAAGACACTCAAATCTCTACCGAGGGCAAATCATTGGTTGTATAGTAGATTTTGATGAAAAGAGCATATCATTTTAATGGACTAAAGCATTTAAGCTTCAAAGTTCTTTTCAACTCAGAATCTTCACTGACATTCAGTCTCAAATTTTCACTTATAAATAGCCCAGAACCAAATGAACATGAGAAATGACCATCTCCTTTTGTAATCTGATTATTCTATGATTCTTCAAGACAGTGCCGGATACATTTGCAAAGAGTCTGGAGAGCCATGCTACAAATACTCTGATTTGGATTCTTGCGCTGAGCAAGGAGTGTAAATCAATAGCTCCTTCCAACTCTTTGATTCTACACAAATAAAATCCCAGTACCAACTAGCTATTATTTAAACTTCCTGGTCGTTCAGTGGTATTCACAACTCATGTTCTTCAATGCCATTCAGAGGTATCCACAATTTTTGATTCTTTTCCCAAGTATTTCCAACCCGTGTTTATTTGTGAATAATCTTCCGTTGTAATGGCAAAGAGAAACGAGGAAAAATGCAACAAGCAAGAGTTCCAAAAATAACTTCTTGGCTTTTAAAAAAAACTAGGAGTAAGAAAATAAGAATAACAGAATAACAGAGTTGGATGGGACCTTGGAGGTCTTCTAATCCAAGCTCCTGCTCAAGCAGTGGCTGTCCAGTCTCTTCTTAAAGACCTCCACTGATGAAGCACCCATGATTTCTGGAGGCAAGCTGTTCCACTGGTTAATTGTTCTCACTGTCAGGAAATTTCTCCTTAGTTCTAGGTTGCTTCTCTCCTTGATTAGTTTCCATCCGTTGCTTCTTGTCCTGCCTTCAGGCACTTTGGAGAATAGCTTGACACCCTCTTCTTTGTGGCAGCCCCTTAGATATTGGAACGCTGCTATCATGTCATCCCTAATCCTTCTCTTCATTCAACTAGACATACCCAATTCCAGCAACCATTCCTTATATGCTTTAGCCTCCCACCTCTTTGTGGCAACCCCTAAGATACTGGAACACCACTATTGTGTCATATTAAGAAACTGGTACTTACTTTCTCCATTTGTAACAGATAGAAATCAGTGAAATCCTGTGGCTCCTTCACTGCCTGTGCTTCTTTATGTTTCTGCATTGCCTTCTTTATAAAGGAAAGCACCAGCTCCTTGCTAGACAGGGCATTTTTGTGTGGCCCTGGGAAATATTTCATGAGCCACGAGAACTCTTTATGTAACTATAGAGAAAACATAAGCAAAGTAAAGTCACTATCAAGGATCCCAAGCCTGGGCTCAACCCACACGCCCAATTCATGGTCTGTTTCTGTTGCTTCCCTCTGGGAGGAGGTTCCGAAGTATTTCCAGCAAGACTACCAGATTCTGTAATAACTTTGTTCCCTATCTAGTCCAACCCTATACCATTCCAGACAAAGGGGTGGTCCAGTCTCTTCTTGAAAACTCCCAGAAGAATGGCTGATCTTGTCTCGGTCTACTCCAATCACAAACTCTACTTGGGAGAAGATGAGATTACAATTCTTTTCACCCTCACCTAAGGTCATCATCACAATGGCTCTCAAAAAGCTTTGGGTCTGTCTCAGTAATAAAGCAAAGAATAACTTACAACATAAGCAAAGCTCCCTCCAGATTTTACAGCAGATTCAAGGGCGTCCGTCACTTGTTGGCTGTCTTTGTCTTCAAGAGGGGATCGGTTGCCAAAACTCACAGTCCAGACCATTTTGCAAAGGGAAGCGGTGATGGCGTTCAAAGGGTCAAACGGCTGCCCTACAAATGAAGTGATGGACAAATATTTTCTGCTTTCTTCTTAATATAGGTAATCCTCGAATTACAACCGTTTGTTTAGGGACCATTCGAAGTTACAACGGCACTGGGAAAAAAGTGATTTCTGACCATTTTTCACATTTGCGACCGTTGCAGCATCCCCCATGGTCACGTGATCAAAATTCAGACACTTGGCAACTGGTTTCATATATTTATGACGGTCGCAATATCTTGAGGCCGTGTGATCACCTTTTGCGACCTTCTGAGAAGCTAAATCAATGGGGAAGCCAGATTCATTCAACAACTGTATTAGTAACTTAACAACTGTGGCCAGGAAGGTCATAAAATGGGGCAAAACTCACTTAACAAATTTCTTGTTTAGCGAGGGAACTTTAGGACTTGATTGTGGTCTTAAGTTGAGGATTACCTCTCTATCTGCTTGGAATTTATGGTGGAATCGACCAATTTATATGTGTGGGTGTGTTAAATTTTAGATTTTTGCTGACAAAGAATTAAAGGGAGACTAGTATAGCTATTTCAAGCTATTTAGCTCTCATCGGCTAATATAGCTCGAAATAGCTATACTAGTCTCCCTTTAATTCTTTGTCAGCAAAAATCTAAAATTTAACACAGAAATAGTTTGTCACAGTAGCGTCTGCCTGTAAAAGCTCCTAGATTGGGGCTGAAAGGCGAAAGCAATAGTAGATTGCTCCGTCCCATATTTGGGTAGACCAGGTGCTTTGTTATACCGGTAACAATTGTTATATTAGAATATAACCAAAAAGATGCCAAATTGTATTTCAAAGCATGCAGAGACTCCATGAACACTTGAGCAGAGCAAAATAACAGCCGATGTAAACTCCTAGTGCTACGTACCATTTACACGGGCAAAAGTCTCCACCAGCCGAGGGCCTTCCTCTTCAACCTGGCTCTCCACTGTTTTCTTTTCTTTCTCGCCCTTCAATAAAATTAGCTGCCCAATTTCTCTTTGCTGCTTCCAGATATCCCCACCTAAAAAATACCAGATTAAGAAGTACAAGAAGTAAAGCAACGACTGAGAGCAAAATAAATAAATCATAGGAAAAAAATAATGCAATATATTATTATTATTATTATTATTATTATTATTATTATTATTATTATTATTATTCAAATTTATTATTCTCTCAACACCGCCCCCCCCCCCAAAAAAGGTAGTTCATATACAGGACAAAAGAGTCTGTCGGTTACATTTTCTCACAAATTTTCTGTCTTACATTTGTGTGTGTTTTTCCCTTGTATTTTGCATTAGCAAAACGAATGAGCAATGTGAGCCCCATCTCCAGTATGCAGTGGAGCTGTTCAGCCTAATACTCCAAGGAAAAGAGATGGAAATATAGAGTGTCTGAAAATAAGAATTTTCATTATAGAACTCAGTGGTAGAGTCCCTAATACAGACTGGCTGCCAACACACAAACTGTATCCAATAAGCCCCTCCGACCAAGAGAGAAGTCATTAATTTGAAGCTCCTAAAAGTTACAAAGAGAAAGAACTGATGTCTGTGGGAAGGTCTAATTCAGGGGTCTTCAAAATTGGCCCTTTTATGACTTGTGGACTTCAACTCCCAGAATTCCTCAGCCAGGCACGCTGGCTGAGGAATTCTAGGAGTTGAAGTCCACAAGTCATAAAAGGGCCAAGTTTCAAGACCTCTGGTCTAATTCATCTATTTATTTGTATCCCATAGAAGTTAATCCTATATTCAGTTAACTCATTCTGTTGGCTCTAGATCAGTCTTAGCCTTGGCTACTGGAAAACAGGTGGACTTCAACTCCCAGAATTCCCAACCAGCAGCATTTAATAATAATAATAATAATAATAATAATAGTAAAGTTGGAAGCGACCTTGGAGGTCATCTAGTCCAACCCCCTGCTCAGGCAGGAAACCTATACCATTTCGGACAAATGGCTGTCCAGTCTCTTCTTAAAAACCTCCAGTGTTGGAGCATTCACCGCTTCTGGAGGCAGGTTGTTCCACTGGTTAATTGTTCTAACTGTCAGGAAGTTTCTCCTTAGTTCTAGGTTGCTTCTCTCCTTGCCTTGGCCACTAGAAGATGGGTGGACTTCAACTCCCAGAATTTCCCAGGCAGCATCATGCTGGCTGTGGAATTCTGGGAGTTGAAGTCCACACATCTTCCAGATCGGAAACACTGAACTAATGTTTCCAAAGAGAGATCTAGCACAAATACTTCCATATTTTATAAACACTTACCATTGTCATTGGCTATGCTACTGTAAGGAGTCATAGAGGTCTTAGAGGTGTCATTTTCTTCTTTCATCCGCTGTATGGATCAAGATAAAAAGTAAGTGTTATTCTTGGATGGGGGGGGGGGTTCCAAATAAAAATTAAATTTTCAGTTTCTCCTGCTGGGAAACTTTCAATCCTGCTCACCTCTGTTCATGGCAAAAAAAAAATTGAAAGTAATGAGAATGTTCTTTCCTAGTTTTAGTTTTAGAGAACAAATAAATAAGATTGCAGGATGTAACAGAATAACAGAGTTGGAAGGGACCTTGGAGATCTTCTAGTCCAATCCCCTGCCCAGACAGGAAACCCTGTACCATTTCAGACAAATAGTTGTCCAGTCTTTTCTTAAAATCCTCCAGTGTTGAAGCACCCACAACTTCTGGAGGCAAGTCATTCCACTGATTAATTTTTCTCACTGTCAGGAAATTCCTCCTTAGTTCTAGGTTGCTTCTCTCCATGATGAGTTTCCATCCACTGCTTCTTGTCCTGCCTTCAGGTGCTTTGGAGAATAGGTTTGTGGCAATGCCTTAGATATTGGAACACTGCTATCACATCGCCCCTACTCCACCTTTTCATTAAACTAGACAAACTCAGTTCCTGAGGCCGTTCTTCATATGTTTTAGCCTCCAGTCCCTTAATCGCCTTTGTTGCTCTTCTCTTCTCTCTTTCTAGAATCTCAACAATGCAAGAAAGGATTTCCCGTGTTCATTCCATATAGCAAATTCAGCAAGTTAATTTACTTAGTTGACTCTTTTTCAACCTACCTACAGATATCCTATAACAGTGATGGCGAAGCTTTTAGAGACCGAGTGCCCAAAACCTGCCACCCACCCTGTCCCTGCTCTGCTATGCACACTGGGCCACCCACCACCTCCACGGCCCACCACAGATCACTCAGGCAGCCCAGAAGCACCATGGCAGCCATGCCCTCCGCCCGTGCCCCGCAGCATCATCTGCGTGCGATGGGGCCAAGGGCAGAGTCTTGTCCCCGCTGCCCGGCTACCATGTCCTTGGCTGCGCTGCTTCAAAGGGCCATGTCCAGGGGCCACTCTCCTCTGGGGGGCTGCTGGTGAGGAGGGGGCGGTGGGAGGAGGTGGGGCTGGGGCGATGGTTCGCCACCACTGTCCTATAAGTACCAAATATTTTAATTACAGTGACAAGTTCTTGAAGGCAGTTTCAAAAACGCACATAATTAATCTTCTCTCTCCTAACAGTTTGTTCATACCATGATCTATTGGCCACAAGGGGGCAATGGAGTTGTAGGTAGCATTAAGGATTTATTTTGTGTTCCTTTTTAGACAAAGAGCAGCTGGAGAGATAAACAAAGTTAATTTTATGCCTTTGTTCCCTGGAATCCATCCACGCTTTTACTCTGATGTAGGCAAGATGTAGGTAGTTAGGTGCTAGGGTTTGCCTGTCTCTATACCAGTATTTCACAATCTCAGCCAATTTAAGATGTGTGGACTTCAACTCCCAGAATTCTTCAGCCAGCCATTGTTGGCTAGGGAATCCTGGGAGTTGAAGTCTACAGATTTGCATAAACCTTCAGAAATTCATTGATTGTTGCTCAGATGATTCTCACAAATGCTCACGTGCACAAACAGGACGTTTCCAGTTCCATCGTTCAAGTTTATGTAACTCTTAGATAGTGAAAAGGAGAAGGGCCAAGATAATTAATACTACGAAGAAGAAGAAGAAGAAGAAGAAGAAGAAGAAGAAGAAGAAGAAGAAGAAGAAGAAGAAGAAGAAGAAGAAGAAGAAGAAGAAGAAGAAGAAGAAGAAGAAGAAGAAGAAGAAGTAGTAGTAGTAGTAGTAGTAGTAGTAGTAGTAGTAGTAGTAGTAGTAGTAGTAGTAGTTGGAAGGGACCTTGGAGGTCATCTAGTCCAACCCCCTGCTCAGGCAGGAAACCCTATACCAGTGATGGCGAACCTTTTAGAGACCGAGTGCCCAAACCGCTATCCAAAACCCACTTATTTATCGCAAAGTGCCAAGGCTGCATGGGGGGGGCCTGGCCCACGGGGTGGGCGTGGCTGCTGTGGTCATGGCAGACTGAGTGGGCGTGGCCGGGGTGGGTGTGGCCACCTTGATGTTGCTCGTGGGGGGATGGCTGTTGGGGCTTGGCAGGATTGGGGGAGATCCAGGGGGTCTCTGGTGGATGGGGCGGTGGGCAGGAGGCTTGTCCTGCGGGCTGAGGCAGGGGGTAGGGCGGGGGTGCCATTGCTGCGGGGCAAGACAGGGGTGGCTGCTGCCTGATACCATCAGCCCCCGCACACAGAGGCCAGCAAGCGCATGGGGGCGTGCTCTACCACCTCTGCTCGAGCTTGCTAGCCTCCTTGGTGCTGGGTGGGGTTGCTGCTCTGGGTGCCAGCAGTGGCCTAATGGACCTGCGCGAGCTGGTGGCGGCGGCAAGTGTGCCCACAGAGAGGGCTCTAAGTGCCGCCTCTGGCACGCGTGCCACAGGTTCGCCATCACTGCCCTATACCATTTCGGACAAATGGCTGTCCAGTCTCTTCTTAAAAACTTCCAGTGTTGGAGCATGAAAGAGTCACAGGCTTCTCTCCAAGGAGCTAGGCATCCACACCTTCAACCCTATGATAGCCCTTCAAGTATGTAAAAATTGCACTCTGGTCTCCTTTTAATATCCCCTTGCTACACAGTCCCAACAGCATTGGTCTTAGGAAGCTATCATCTAGTGCAGGGGTGGGGAACCTTGGCTCTTTTGTGGCTTGTGGACTTCAACTCCCAGAATTGGCTGGCTCAGGAATTCTGGGAGTTGAAGTCCACAAGTCCTAAAAGAGCCAAGGTTCCCAACCCCTGACCTAGTGTAAGAGAAGCGTTGAGAATGAGGTGGCTGGATGGAGTCACTGAAGCAGTAGGCGTGAGCTTAAATGGACTCCAGAAGATGGTAGAGGACAGGAAGGCCTGGAGGAAGGTTGTCCATGGGGTCGCAATGGGTCGGACACGACTTCGCAACTAACAACAACAATGTCAAACCCACTGAGGTCGTCAATTGTTCAATAGCCCGTGCAAACCCAGAAAACGACTTTTAATAATCTGGTTAAGGATTGTTGTAGGGATACAGTTTTGGGGATGAAAGGAGACATGGGTTGATTTAATATTATGATGCAACATTATCTAGGGCATGTTGCATAATGAGATGTTGCAAGCAGACAAAAAGATAACAAATCTGGGTAGGCTGTTGAATTATTTGTTCTAGCCACTAAGGCTGACATAATAGCTGCGTCAGTGATATAAGGCAGTTTTGGAAAAAACTACTCTGATAATCAGAACGTTCTGTTCCTCTGAATGAGGTTTTAGCAACAGCTTGAGAAATGCTAGGGCAGCCATTATTTTGCCAAAGATAAATTTAATATGTTGTTGTTAGTTGCGAAGTCGTGTCCGACCCATCGCGAGCCCATGGACAACGTTCTTCCAGGCCTTCCTGTCCTCTACCATCTTCTGGAGTCCATTTAAGCCAGTGATGGCAAACCTTTTAGAGGCCGAGTGCCCAAACCACAACCCAAAACCCAGTTATTTATCGCAAAGTGCCAGGGCATTGTGGTGCCCTCAGGGGGGGCCTGGGGGTATGGCCCACTGGGTGGGCGTGGCTGGGGTAGGCATGGCCACCTCGATGCTGCTCATGGGGGGGACACCTGTGGGGGCCGGGCAGGGTTGGGGGAGATCCATGGGGTCCCTGTGGGGGCGGTGGGCAGGAGGCCCAGCATAGATGGGGGGAGGCATGCAATCCTAGCTGGGACTGGGGGGGCATGACGCCCATGGGGATCCGGCTTTCCCTGCTCGGGGTGGCCTTTGGCTTGCTGGGTGTGGGCATGCTCTACCACTTCTACTCGAGCTCGCTAGCTTGCCGCTTCGCATCCTTTGTGCTGGGTGCGGCTGCCACCCCAGGCGGCAGCAGCAGCCTAATGGACCTGCGCAAACTGCTGGCAGCGGCGGCACATGTGCCCACAGAGAGGGCTCCAAGTGCTGCCTCTGGCACGCGTGCCATAGGTTCGCCACCACTGATTTAAGCTCACGCCTACTGCTTCAGTGACTCCATCCAGCCACCTCATTCTCTGTCGTCCCCTTCTTCTATTGCCCTCAATCTTTCCCAGCATCAAGCTCTTCTCCAGTGAGTCCTTCCTTCTCATTAGGTGGCCAAAGTACTTGAGTTTCAACTTCAGGATCTGGCCTTCTAAAGAGCAGTCGGGGTTGATCTCCTCTAGTACTGACCGGTTTGATCGCCTTGCAGTCCAGGGGACTCGCAGGAGTCTTCTCCAGCACCATAGTTCAAAGGCCTCAAATCTTTGGCGCTCAGCTTTCTTATGGTCCAACTTTCACAGCCATACATTGCAAATGGGAAAACCATGGCCTCGACTATACGTACTTTTGTTGGCGGGGTGATGTCTCTGCTTTTTAGTATAGGTGTTAATAAACTTACCAAATGCTGGTGTGAAAATAGTGCTGTGCTTGTCCAAGACAAGCGTAGCAGTTAAAAACATAATGGCTGTATAAATGTTATAAATGTGCAATACAAGTTGTCCTCATTTTGCAACAACAATTGGGTTTGGCAACTCTGTCATTAAGTAATTTGCTAAGTGGGAAATCACATGATCATGTCTGTCTTTTGCTTTTTCTCCCTCCCTCACCCTTTGGAATGTTTACCCCTGCGCTAGGGATAATTAGCAAGAAGGGAAATATATTTCATTTAAATTCATTGGAAAAGAGAGATTATAAGAAGATAAGCAGGCACACAAAGGAGAAAACACATCGAGAAGAATGTGGAGTCACTGGCAGCCTCAGAAGCACTAGGCCAGACATGTCAAACACAAGGCCCGGGGGCCGGATGCGGCCCGCAAAATGGTTTCATGTGGCCCGCAAAGCCATCCTGGAAACAGTGAGGGAAGGGCCTCCAGCCGGGAGCCAATGTACAATTTTGTTGTGGCCATCTATGCTGAAACGCATTCAGTCTTGGCTCCACAAGGCCGTCTAGAAACAGCAAGGAACCAGCCCCTGCCTTGTTGGTCCTTCCCCCTG